ACTAACACCTTTTCAAAAAAAAAAAAAGGATAAAAGAAAAAGAAAAAGTAGAAGAAGATGATCATGATAAGCATAACTGACACATGAGCCTAAAAGCATGGTACATCAAAAAGATACTGCATGGTGTTGGCAAACATGCTCTCATGGATAGAAATAATGAGTGGCCTTTTTGATCTAAATATCTGAAACCTCACTTAATGAAAGCATGAAAAAGACATTTCTCTTTTTTTGATTTCAATGTCCTTCAAACTTCTCAAACTTCTGAGGAAAAGACACATACGCTAATTACACGATGTGGCGAATAGCATACTCATAAAGTTGTGATACCACCACAATTCTAAACTCATTCCAATGCATTAAGCATGATTTATGCCAAAGGCCATCAAATAATATAAATTTAAGAAATGATCAATGGTGTTTAAAACAAGGCCTCAAAGATAGACATAGCTTATAAACCAACAATCATGCTTTAAAATCAATATGAAGCTTACAAACCTTAAAGCCAGATCTCCGTATTGCAATTGCTACTGACCGGAACTGAGGATAATCTTTCAACTTAGAAACAACAAATGATCTCCCAATCTGTACAAGAACAGCATAATAAGATGCAAATTGAATGACACACACCAGAAATAAATAAAAAATCGAAGTAAGCATGAAGCGACGGATGAAGATTAGTGAAATGAGGTATGCAACACAACAATAAGTTGCTTTTGTCAATGAACAGTAATGCGGTAAGACATAACTTTAAAAGTTTCATAGAAAATCAATTAACAAACATACTGTTCTGCCTAGAAGGAATGCTGCTCCTGCACCAACAGTTGCACCAATAGAATCCGCAACGAAGCCCACAGGCAATCCAAAAAGATAACCACCACCAAGCTGAAAGATGAAACACAGTACCTTGTAAGGTTAAAATTTTATTCCTTTCTCATTTAATGTTTACAAGGAGGTCTCAATCTAAAAGTACGCACTGCAGAGTAAAAAATGTCACATAACAACAAGAAATTGAATAAGACAGGCCACAAACAAATAAAGAAAACAAGAAGTGAAAGATTATAAGGATAATTTAATATTACATTAACTGTAAGAATGCAAGTCAATCGTAGATTACTTTCATCCGATTTATGCAAAAAAAAAATCTTAGGGTAAAAAGTGGTTTCTTGTGCTTTTAATTTTCCAATAGGCAGAATAGAAGTTTTACTGACAAGTGTCAAGCCAATAAGAGCCAAGTTTACCGTATCATTACTCTAGATGTTTGCTCGTACTATTATGAAACACTAACTGTTGCAGGAAACACCTTCAGTCCAACTTCATATAATTACACCTGGCTACCAACTCATCTATAGAAACCTAATTCTAGGTTATTAATAGGTATTAACTCTAGCATATAGGCCTGACCAACAGCTGCCTAAAACGGCCATGCACAAAGATCTGAACAAAGCAGAGACTGGAATCAGTAATGCATTTTGCATCCAAAATCAGTGGAAAAAGGTAAGTTCCAGTGACATGGAAACCATGCCTACCGCACACAAGACAACAATTAACAAGGAATGCAAAAATCAGGACCATTGCTCCATATCCCACAAGGAGGGAAAACCCAATCGTAAGTTAAAAGGGCAAAATAAACAAGAAAAAAATTTGCATGATGTTACAAAATGGTGATAAATTTGGCTACACAGAAGCATCAGAACAGGGTTTAATCGCTTACAGTAAGCACTGAAGCTGGAACTGCCAAGACTGTCAAAGGAATGTAAGCAACAGCCCTGCACATCAACTGAGAAAAATGAGTTGAAAGGGAAAAAAATGCAATACTTCAGAATTAAGTCATTTACAGTTAATCAATTACCAGCAAACCGGGCAATTACCCACCCAAAATATTTATATTTAGAGGTATTCAACATAACAATGAGAGGAGAACATTAATACTCATTAGGGGGCCTTCTATTCATCCAATGATAGAGAACACATCCAGTTACATTCTTCCGATGTTTCACATAAAGAGGGTGATGCAGTTTCCATTTACATAAAATAGGATATACACAAACATTTGCTAAAGACTGTAGGAATAAAGCAAAGGGACAAAACTTTCAACTCAACCCCCAGGCTTGACAATGTCTCAATGACAATGAACAACTTAAATTAAACTTTGCAGATTGATGTATTACCATGATCAATACACATAATTGAACTGCATTAAAGAATTAAGCAAACAAAAAATTAGATGCTAATTAAAAACAAAATGATATTGGGATGGTTTGAGTGACTCACAGGACAAGGGGACCCCAGGGTCCAAGGTCCCTATCAACCCATGATAAAAAATCCTTCAGAATCTGCAAAAAGAAAAAACTTATTTTCACCAACACAGATTGTAGCAAAATAACAACCGGGATTAATTTAAACACTGATTGTTAACATTTGAAAGCTGGGGAGAACTGGAATTCCCTGAGGCTCAGAATTCATGACCCTAGTCAATTTTGGATTTCTCTTCATAACTCTTGCCTTCTATTACTCCAACTTTGCACTTTGTAGTAATTTCGGCATTGGAATACCATTAGGTAAATACATTGGGTTCAAAGCACAAGCTTGGTTGCAAATTAATCCAGAAATCTATGAACAAAATCACAAATTTGCATTTATGATCTCGTGTCCTAAATTCAAAATTGGAAAGCATATGCAAACAGCTCCCAAAATGCGCCACATAGATAACGCATTGAACTAGCAAAACCCCACATTTCAAATCTTCAAGTAATACAACCACTTAAATATCCAGAATTTACAAACCAAAAAGTGAAAACAAGAAAAACCCGGATTAAAAAAATAAAAACAAAAATTCATAGAAACAGGCAAGATCATCAATCAATAAGAGAGAACAAAATTAACCAGATTGAAAAGAACCCACAAAATTGACAAAATAAAACAAAATTATCGATCAAAAAGAGACAACAACAATAACCCATATGAGAACACCCAAAAAAAAAAGAAAAATTATCAATCATTAAGAGAAATAAAATTCACCCAGATCAAGAGAACGATCGAACCTTTTCAACAGGGAGGGTGAAACAAGCAAAAATAACGGTAGCTAGAAGAAGAAGAAGAAGAGTGATCCTGAGAGCAGAGCCCCAGGTGAAAGCCATTGACAACCTACGACGCCAAGGCCTACACTCTTCGTCGTGATTGTTAATATCAAAGATCGCTTGTTTCAACGATGAACGCGCCCTCAATCCTTCTATGGTTGCCAGATTTTAAAGAGTTCAAAGAAACAACAAAAATGTACTACAATCTATTTAGCTTTCCTTTAGGTTTTGCCTTGGCGGTTTTAGCCTAACAAACACTCAAGGATTCCTGGGTTTTTGTCTGATTGCTTTTATTTCAATTGTTTTTTGGGATTTTTGGGTATTGAAATGGATTTCGGATAGGCTTTGCAAGAGTGTAGGAAGCATCGTTTTTTTATCATTATTTTGTTTGATTGCAGGTAATTTAATTACTACTTTTTTATTACCTACTTTCGGAGGAAAAGAGCAATTAAAACGGGACGTTGGATTTATTTATTGCGTGTGATGGAGGGTAAAGTTCAGTCCAGCCGGCCTACAAATGAAGGGCGTTTTCTGGTTCAATCAACTTGTTTTTTACTTTGCAATCATTTTTTACATCTTATGAATAGGGGTGTGCGTCGTTCGATTTTATCGGTTTCGGTTCGATTTTGATCAAAAATTAATTAAAATTTTTTTCACTATAATTGATCGCATA